AGATTTTTCTGATTTTTCTTAAAAATGTAAATTAAAAAATTTAAGTTTTCCCCCAAATTGTGCAACCCTAATAATAATAATAATAATAATAATAATAGTAAATAGAATAGTAATAATAATAACACTATAAAAATTATATAAACTAAAATAATATAGGTAACATATGATAATAATAATAATAATAATAATAATAATAATTATAGTTTGTAGTAGTAACAGTAAAAAAATACATTAAAATTATATATTAAATATATTATTATTTATTAAATATATTATTATATTTATTAAATATATTTAAAAAGTATATTAAATTAAATATTTTAATTAAAAAAATGAAAGAGGTTATTAATGACTGATGAGAACATATAACAGACTGATGAGAAAATATTTCCAAAAATTGTCGAGCTCATCATTATCTTCACGTTTCCTCCACAGATCCTTCAGGAGAGGGGGTCCAGGATGTGAGGAACCTGGTGCCTGAGCCCACACAGATCTCCCATCCCTCACCTCCTTTCTCCAGATCCTCCTCCACCATACAGCTGACTCCAAGTTCATCAGCCCACCCTCCCCTCCTCCCTTGTGCCTTTCCACTGTGGGGGTTTCAGTCCCCCTCCTCCCTTCAGTGCTGCAGCATTAACCGATCAGCACCACCACTAACTATCATCACTAATCAAAAATGCGTCCGAGGTTAAACCTCAGACCATCACATTTGATGCAAGACCTGCTTAGAGAGAGGATTACAGGGAAGGATTCATCATTCATCTTAATGCTTATTTATGCAGACTTCATCATCATCTTCCTCATATCCCGGTCACTATCATCATAATCTTTACAGCTGCTGGCTTTAAATGTTTTAAGGGGGTTCAGTTGCCCCTGTTGGCTCGGCTGCGTCCACATGACCATAATTTCCTCAGGACTTCCAAATGGTGTACAAGATAGCCTCATTTCTCTGACCGTCAATACAGCTTCTCATAACAACCGCATTCACTTACACTGTAAATCATTAGCAGCCAAATGTGTATCATTTCAGCATTCATTTCCCATTGCCTGGTCAGACCAAGAGCACAGCAGATGGCACAACGGAAAAAACGAAGACAGCAGCTTTTGAACATGCAGTATTTTGTCTTCAAAGCGGCATGTTTCTTTTGTTAACTACCCATTTACACATCTGGAAAGGACCAGAGGAGATGGGAAAACTAATACTGCCAATTGTCCGGTCAGATGCTCCAAATCGCGTGTCCATTGCTATGAAGATGTCTCACATTTTCCGATTCGCTCCGGTTGACTTCTGTCATCCTGGATTTTTTTTCTATTTTTTTGCCTTGTCGCTGTGGATATTTCAAAACAGGAAATAAAAAAAATCAAAGAAATATGCGGTTTTAGGGCATGTGAGGATTATGTATATTCAAACCATATGTATTACGAAGAGGCCGAATGCAAGTCATGTAATTGTTGATATCTGTACCATAGTGGTCGTTTTTTGTGTTAATCAAGATGAGTTTCTCTCTCTGATTGGGGAAGGTTCTGAATCGAACCCTAATGTATTTTTTTTTAAAGCCTGGTCGCCGAGATGTGAAATTGATTGTTGTGTTTTTCCTTTAAACACTTTGTCGATGACTGGAAAAAAAGAAAAAAAAGCCGGAGACTTTTTGTATAGACGTACATAGTCCAGGTGGTTCAGGAGACTGTTGTTGGACAAAGTGCCCACTAGTTTTGAGTCAGGGCAAAACTGCATTAGTGGCTCTTTGTTGCATTTTTTTGACACTTTTCTGACATTTTAAATTCAGAACTGACTCTCCCCGTAACATTCTGGCTATTTAACTGTTTCAATGATTTCTGTTTAAAGTCTGATCACGTCAGTTGAATGTTTTTGAATGTATTTTGACACTTTTCTGACATTTTCAATTCAGATCTAACTCTCCACCGTAACATTTAGGGTATTTAACAGTTGAACTTATTTTTGTTTAAAGTCTGATCACGTCAGTGGAATGTTTTTGAATGTAAAGGGCTCCATTTATTATGAAACATTCTTGCCTTTTTTTCTTCTTTTTTTCATTTCAAAATCTAATATAATTTCCGGCAAAACATTTTATGTTTGCTTCATTTTAACATTGAAGCTTTGTCTTTGAAACCAGTGGCCCTCATTGTTTAACCCAATCTAGCAGCAGATGAACCTGATCTCCTGTTTTATCGCCTGTATTTTTTATATAATTACATTGTGGTTTCTCGGAATCTGCTGTGACTACATCACAAATTGTCAGTATTTGAACGGTATCCAGGCTGTATTTTGGTTATTCGGTTCTTCATATCTATTGATGAAATATTGTTGAATCTAGGGGTCAGGTAAGATGGCATCATGTGCGTGGACTTTAGGTGACGATTTTATGGTCGGCAGTGTTTTAAAGTGTTGTCTCTCTCTAAATACATTTAAGGATTTTTACCTCTTTATCGCACTAAACTCATGTCTTTGGTTTATCAGATCAAGAAGGCGAAGTACTTGAGTTTGTGAGATAGTTGTTGGCTTTCCCTTTCTTCTGTTGTGTTAATGTTTTCCCCCTCCTGAAGAGAGTTTATTTGTTCAGCCCCAATTATTAGTCATTGAAGCTCCTGTAACAGGACCTCGGCTCTCTCACAGGATCCTATTGTACATTCCCATTGTTCAAATAGGTTTCAGGTCTGATTTCAAAGAAGAATCCTGGATTCAAAACTAGATGGTGCTGTTTAAGTCTCTCTCCGTCCCAATGGTTTGTCTAGTGTTGTGCCTTTGACCTGTCATGCCCTTCATGTCTTCACTCCTAGATTACTCTACTTTAAATACAGATGGTTGGGAAATGGTGTTTATTTTATGTTTGTTTTGACTAAATCAGTTCTGTTCCTTGACTCAGATACTGACTGTGCCCGTTTCCCCTGAGTTTATGGTACTTGTTGTTTCAGTGGTTCATCTGTATTTAGCTTTTCCACTCCTGCCCCTATGCACTTTCATTATAATGCATTATTATACCTGCATTATAATGTTCTCACTGTGTGGATTTTGTTTTTAGATTTTGTTCTATTTTTAGAGTCGAACCCCATGTGAGGCAGAAGAAAATGTCATGGGCAGTCTCAAGATTTATTTGGGACAGTTCAGGAAACTGATATGGACGTCACATTGACTGCTGATGCTTTAAGCACTTGAGATTGTGAGACTTCTGTGTGTCTCCTTTTCCTTAGAAATCTACCATTCTTCTTTAGGTCTTGTACCCCATGTTGTTTAAGATCAAACAAAAAGGTATATAAATAAAGATATTTTCTTTGTGGGAAAAAAGATATATGCTATTCTGAAAAACAGGAGGTTGGTGTTTTGGAATACCAACTTGGAAGCATGCAATGTGTTGAGTATAAAATGCTGGGATGTTGTCATATTGTGACGGTGAATTGGTGCATGGACAGATGACGGATGGTATTAATAATATTTGAGAAGTGGAAATTAAAAAAAATATATGGCCCTATTTTAACTGTTCTGTACAGAAATTGATCAAATCAAACACAGTACTACTGGAAAAACTTGCTTGCTGAGGCTAAATATGCTTATGCAACACCCCATGTATCTGATAAAAGATATAGCTTTCAACCAATGTTTTCGAACTGGCCAAAAGTGCAGACCTCTGTCATAACTTCTTCAAATAAAAGTTAAAAACAAGGTCCATGTTTAACATAAGTTGTTTTTTTTCTTCTTGCCATAATAGCCTACAACACCTGCATGCTTTAATATACAGTACACACGCATTTTAATGTGCTAAAAACCTGCTCTTTCATCAGATGTATTGGGTGTATTGCATTGTCAACAGTATTGATGTAAAGTGTCAAATATGTCACTAGGCTATGGAGATTGTGGAGCTAAGTGTTCTGGAAATGAATAGTCTTGATCAGACTGTATTTTTCAAAAAAAAAAAAAAAGTTTTTTTTCATTTTTAAAGTTTGTCTTCTGATGCAGTTTCTTGCAATGTACAGATTGCAAAGTCATAATGTATGATTTTTATCATAAAATGTGTTTGTGTTTCAGATTGGTGGCGTGCTTATTTTGTTTACAATGTTTTACATTAGAACTTTTTTTTTATATGTATTCTGTTTAAAAAATGTAAAACCATTAAAAAACATTTTGACATAAAAAAAACGAGATTGCGCTCACAACAGTCATTTCTAGACTGCTAAATATTTTGGAGCCTTATAAAAATGTAATTGAATTATTAACTATTGTAATGTTTGGTTATTTGCCTTGCCAGGAAACGATAATTTTACAGTTCCCTGATATTTAATTACTGTGGGAACCTTGTAAATAATACCATTTGAATTGAAAGCATACTTCACCCATAAATGTAGTCGACCAAATATGACTTACTTTCTTCCATGGAACACAAAAGGAGAAGCAGTCTCAGTCACCATTCTCTTTCATTCAATGTTTTTTTCCCCTTCATACAATAAGTGAATGGTGACTGTCTGAGACATACTGTTCAACCTCTCCTTTGGTATCCCACTGAAGAAATTTAGTTACACAGGTTTGGTCAGACTTTTAATTTTTTGGGGTGAAATATCTATATATCGACTGTAAAGCTACTCTTAAATTAAAGTGGTCTAAATTGACACTGGAAAAAGTCACCGTGTGTTTTTCACAAATGGTTAGTATTGGAAATATAATGGAGTGTGTTTGGGGTAAGAATAAGATGTTTGTTAGGATTTGGAGTCTGCGTCACGGGATCAGTAGAATGTACTTTACTAATGTAGTATTGTTGGGAGGAGGTTTAGTTTTAATAAACCTAACTCTTGCTATGGGTTATACGTGCTTAACTACGCCAGCATACAGAAACCCGCCCTTCAGCGCGGCTCTAACGTAACGTTAGTCGGATGCGACTGAGCTGCTCTGGGTGAAAGGCAAGAGGAAATGCCATGCCATCGCCCCGGTGCTCAAATTTCTCTACGTGTAGACTGCTGTTAAAGGAGCCGTTAGGCCTACTACTTCCATCTAGCTCTCTATTTGGTTTATATGGTTATAGTACGATATGTGAGAGAACATGCTGTTACATTAGCGTTTGCTTAATCGACTGGATCCTGAAACTGCTCACAACCAGAGTGTCTCCTCCTACCGCTGATCTGACAGTCTCCGCGGCACAGGCAGACGGTGCTGGGTGGATAACGTTACCTGAAAATGCGCTGAAAAGGTGCGTTTGTTGTTTATTACATGAGTTTTTTTTCCAAGCTTTGCATCGTGTCCTGTTTGAGTCTGGCAATACGTGTTCGGCTTTAAGAACAAGATGAATTGTTTACATTGGCTTGTGAGACCCCGGTGATGTGGCTGGTTTCAGGTAGCCTACCTTCAATAAAGACAAACATGTCTCAAGTGTTTTAAGTAGTTATTTACGTAGCACTTGTTGGAAACGTCGCACGCGTCTGCTTTCCGTATAGTTTCTTTGTTGTTCATGTTCAGAACACCCTGAAACAGCTGTAGAAGCAAAATAAATAAAATACCATACAAAAGGATAAAAAAGCATGTGAACAAAAATACTAGTGGTGGAGATTTACTTCGTAGGTTACATCGTTACGCCAGTAGGTGGCGACACAGGAATGTCTTTTTTTCTGTGTTGAGTGAGTTATTGAAACCTTGAATCATTCACTCAACCGATTCTCTAAAAACATGAAATCTTTCACGACTGTAACTTCTTATGTCTTATCGTCCTTATAACCTTATAATATTAAAGAGTGTTTAAACATCATAAGCGTTATATAGACAGTTTCGTTTTAGAGTTTCAACAAAATATAAGTTGCTGTTATTGGTTTTATTTTTTTGTATAATTTGCTTTTAGTAACTTCTACATACTCGTTCTTTGAAGGGGCGTGGCAGTTCAGTTAAACCATTCAGTGAAATTTTTGCATTTGCCTGCTACATTCAGTTTCTTGTTTCAAAGTAAGATTATTTCAGAGACCGAGATATTTCAGAGATATTCACTTAAAAGATTCTTAGACACTTTTTAAAAACACAGATTTAATTACGAATGAAAACCACTATCTGTTTCCATATCGAAATGTGTTAGATAAATATAAACTTGGTTAGTATTCAGTATTACAGCTAAGACCAAACGAACCGTGAAAAATCTCTAAGATGGATGTGAGCAAATACCTCTCAGGTCTACCTGAACTTGAAAGGTAAACAAAGTAATAGTTTGACAAGTTCTTACAATAACTTTTTGTAGCTCCACCCAATATTTTGCAATGAATTTTTAAAAATCTTTCTTTTTTTAATGTGTTTGTTTGTGTTCCTGAAAAATGCTTTATATTGCTCATTGTTCAATAAGATTAGCTTTTCCTCCCTTTTTTTGTATAGGGGTATAGCAAGCACACTTTGTTTGGATGATATAGAATATGCAAGAATGTGTTGCCCTGCTCTTCTTCTGCCGCTGAGAGCCCAAAGCTCCCCGGATCAAGTGGAAAAACCCAGGTGGTAGTGACATGGTTACCATCAGATCGGAAAATATGGCACCTCAGCAACCTTCCAGCATGGAGGAGCAGTCGGGGGAGCTATGTGAGCCTGAATCTGAGGAGGGAGAAAAACAAGGAACAGGACCCCCTTCTGATCAAGCTCATCCAGTTGGCTATGATGCTCCAGATGGAGGCTGGGGATGGGTGGTCCTAGTGGCTACTATCCTTGTCTTAGCTCTGACTCTGGCCTTCCCCTCCTGCATTGGCATCTTCTACTTAGATCTTCAGGAAGAATTTCAAGCCAGTAACAGTGAGACATCTTGGGTGCCATCGATAATGACGGCAGTTCTGCATGCCGGAGGTAAGGATGTTATAGAGAAGTCTGTTCTTTCTTCTCCACTAGCACAACCAAATGAAATTGCAAAAATAATGATAGTTTCAAACAGGTTTCCTCAACATACCACCTATCTTCCACTGGTCGGACAAACAAGAAGTCCCACCTCCAAACTTATGGCATTACCTGAGCCCAGGGTTTCCCAAACAAGGGTTTGTGAGCTAATAATTAATTATATTGAATGTCATATTAAAATAAACAAATGGAGCTGCACAGTTAATCAAAATAAAACAAAATATTGATATATTGTATCAAATTGCGATTGTCAAGTCAAAGGCTATTCTGCTTCTCACTAACTCCATTTCTGAGCTGTGAGTTTAATGTCCATTTGGGAACACAACATGTGCTAAGTTCACATTATTTACAACAGGAACATTTGCATAATTTCCAATGTTTTTGTGAACAGAACGTTACAGCATTTCACCAGTATTTCGCCAAAATAAAAACTCATGTATCTGCTAACATCTTAAAAGCTTGAAGGTTTGAACATTTGAAAGTGCATAATTCCAGACATAAATATTTGTATTGTAATTTGTGGTGTTAGGTGGTTGTTGTAAAGCGTGAACTAAGTATGAACACCCTTAAACGTGACTATTTCCTTTAGCAGCAGAGTCTTTGTTCTTTGTCTCTGGATGTCCCAGCAGTAGCAATATGAGACATTTTCAGACAGTAGCAATATATGATAAAATAATCATATATAATTTTCTGGCCAAGTCGTGCAGCACTATATTTCTAAATGATTTAAAAATAAAACACTAAAAACATTAGATATTTTATCTGTTTACTTGCATGTCATGCGGCCATTAACCAGCATCAGAGAACTGTAAACATGTGAATATGTTGTGAAATTATTATGGCTGTCAGTCGATCAAAATTTTTAATCTAATTAATTACATGGTGCGCCGATTAATTAATCTAATTTATCGCAAATAAAATTTGGCTGTGAAAATACTCACAAAAGATTATTTAAAGCTATTATTGTGTTAAATGAGAAAGTATCAAGTAGACATTACAAATAGTAACTTTAGAAATAAATATTTTATTTGATTCAACATAAAATTTATTACACATAAACGTTTAGGCTACAACGGCCTAACATAATATGGAACATAAAAGAAGATAATTTGAGAAACAATTTTGTTTTATCAGATGTTAAACAGGTAATTGTGCTGAATGCATAAGTGCCCAATTCATCCCCACTGTAAGAATGAAATTGTGGTCATTATTTGACATCTGATTTAAGCTGATAACAACTACATTACATAAGTCCAGTAGAGATGGTAATTAAAAGTCAGTGTTTGATTTACATGTTCACTGTGAATTTGGCTTTTTACTGGTAGTCATTGTAGCAGTCATAAAAGAGGAACAGCTTGATCCAACATTTATTACACACACTTCATTATACCTCTTAAATAGCCATACATCAATTACTTGTGAGAGTTGTGTGTTGACATTTCGCTTAAAGGGGTCATATGATGCTGCTAAAAAGAACATTATTTTGTGTATTTGGTGTAATGAAATGTGTTTATGCGGTTTAAAGTTAAAAAAACATATTATTTTCCACATACTGTACATTATTGTTTCTCCTCTATGCCCCGCCTTTTTGAAACGCGGCGTTATGCAAATCTTCTCACATCGTGACGTAGACATGTGGGGTGTGTTAGAACGAGCCGTTTTAGGTAGGTGTGGCTGACTCTTAACTTTTATAAAGAATATCTCTTTGGATTTGAGACTTTAGTCTTTGCAACTTTACAGATCTTCTTTATGCACCAAGAGCTTGTAACACTTCAAAGAGAAAGGAAAAATTGAAATCGCATCATATGACCCCTTTAACATATTTGAACAAGGCAGTTCATTGTTCTAGGGTGGTGTTTTGAGTAGCTGGTTGTTGAAAATGAGCTGTAGGAATATGGCATGTCATGCTGGGATTTTAGGAGTAAACCATCTCAGATTAAAGTTTTTTTTTTTACCGTATGTGTTTTTCTTGCAGGTCCTCTGTGTAGTGTTCTGGTGGAACGCTTTGGTTGCCGGGCGACAGTGATGTTTGGGGGAGTGCTGAGTGGTTTTGGGATGGCGGTCAGCTCTTTCTCACATACCATTGTTGATTTATACATCACCACTGGGGTCATCACAGGTCAGTAAGTCACCAGAGGAAGTGATAATGATATCTTGTTTGATCTGTAGATAAAAGAGCAACAGCAGTGATTACATAAACATTGTGATTCCATTCATCATCGTGATTATGTAAAGAGTTATCACTAAGCACTTTACCAGCTGACCTGACATGAATAAGAATATGAATACAGATATGAAGAGGTTGATTTCTTGAGCAATATCACACAAGAATCCTGTTGTGCTTATTATCAGCATGGCTGTTATTTAGCATTTAGCACAACAGCATTACTTTGAGTGTTCTATAAACAAACAGTTAATTAGACCACCCACAAAAAGTTTCAGATGTTAAAAATGTACGTACTGTAGCAACAAGCAGATTTATATGACCAGTAAAATTATTTTTTTGCAGCTTTATAACCTAATATTTCTTGAAAGACTTACTATTTATATTACTAATGTGTGAATGTGTTTCATTATATATTTAATGTGTTTTGATTTTATGCTTTGTGAGGCACTTTATGCTTTACTGCTAAAAGGTGCTACACTACTGGTCAAAAGTTTGGAAGATTTTTAAATCATTTTGAAAGAAGTCTCTTATGCTCACAAAAGCTAAACGGTAATATTGTAAAATATTATTACAATCTAAAAAAAAATCTTGGTTTAATCTTGAGTTGCCTTTTATTTTTGTATATTTTTATTATTTAAATAAACTAGAGCAAGCAAACATGTCATTAAAATGGTGAACATTTTGCAAACAAATAGTGACCAGTTACGGGACCTACAAAATACAGTTTCCATTATAAATTAATATCAAATTTACCCTAAAATCTTGATGTTAAAAAAAAAAAAGTTTTGTGAAATTGAAAGTGCACAGTGCATTTCCTAAAAATCCCGCTGCTCTTATCCCAAGTTTAAATCTGTCTCAGATCAGGAAATGAATGTTCTTTCCTGTCGCATCTCAACTGTCCTGCCAAAGTAAAGTCTCATAAAAATCATTTTAAAGTTAATTCAAAGACATTCCCAAACATTCTTGTCTTTTAAAGAAGAATCACTATGATATAGAATGAAATATGTGTATGATTGTGTAGCTATCAGTGAGGAGGTTTGTTCTCCTCTTTCTGGGCTCTTTCAACAGCATTACTTTGAGTGTTCTATAAACAAACAGTTAATTAGACCACCCACAAAAAGTTTCAGATGTTAAAAATGTACGTACTGTAGCAACAAGCAGATTTATATGACCAGTAAAATTATTTTTTTGCAGCTTTATAACCTAATATTTCTTGAAAGACTTACTATTTATATTACTAATGTGTGAATGTGTTTCATTATATATTTAATGTGTTTTGATTTTATGCTTTGTGAGGCACTTTATGCTTTACTGCTAAAAGGTGCTACACTACTGGTCAAAAGTTTGGAAGATTTTTAAATCATTTTGAAAGAAGTCTCTTATGCTCACAAAAGCTAAACGGTAATATTGTAAAATATTATTACAATCTAAAAAAAAATCTTGGTTTAATATATTTTTTAAAAATTATTAATTTGTATTTTTTTTGTTGACCCTCATCTACAGTTGGTTGAGTTGCCTTTTATTTTTGTATATTTTTATTATCTAAAATAAACTAGAGCAAGCAAACATGTCATTAAAATGGTGAACATTTTGCAAACAAATAGTGACCAGCTACGGGACCTACAAAATACAGTTTCCATTATAACTTAATATCAAATTTACCCTAAAATCTTGATGTTAAAAAAAAAAAAGTTTTGTGAAATTGAAAGTGCACAGTGCATTTCCTAAAAATCCCGCTGCTCTTATCCCAAGTTTAAATCTGTCTCAGATCAGGAAATGAATGTTCTTTCCTGTCGCATCTCAACTGTCCTGCCAAAGTAAAGTCTCATAAAAATCATTTTAAAGTTAATTCAAAGACATTCCCAAACATTCTTGTCTTTTAAAGAAGAATCACTATGATATAGAATGAAATATGTGTATGATTGTGTAGCTATCAGTGAGGAGGTTTGTGCCTGTGTTTCAGCAAAAAGAATGGAATGTCTGCTCCATTGTAACAGCACTAATCTGGATTTATGTGTTGGTCGGAGCGAAGGCTGTGTTCTCAATCTGGTCTTTGATCTTTCTTACACAGAAATGTCATTAGTTGAGCCAAGTGCTGCCTAGCACCTTGGAGTGCTACTAAGTACACGCTTTTGGTGTTCACCTGTATTCTAGAACGCCCCTTCACATTCATGCATGACTCATGTTTGGGTGGTTATTTTTAAAATAATGATGATCAAGCAGATTTGTATTAAATTTGAACGTATTTAGATCTAGTATTTTTATTTGGTTTTATAGATACAAAATAAAATGCTAATACCCCTGCACCTGTGTTCCAGGAATCCTTGTGGACCGTACTGACCAGTACACATATGTGTTCCTGGCCTGCAGCATCTCAGTGGCCTTATCAGCTCTGTTCCTTATGGTTTCCTTTTACTGGCTGGACTCCCGTGATGCAGCCCAGAAGAACAGTTCACCAGCGTCTGGGTCTCCAGCTAAGCCTGCAGTCAATTTACCCACGGACTGCCAGTACAGCAGTGTGCCTACAGATGGGGACAAGACAAATAAGCCATCATCAGAGGCAGAAAAAATCACAAATGTATGACCTGGATCAGAGTTATTTATGTCTTTGTAATCGTGATCCGTATCAAGTACAGAAATATGTTTCTTTGCCATTTGTGACCCTGGACCACAAAACCAGTCATAAGATTTATACATCATCTGAAAGCTGAATAAGCTTTCCATTGATGTATGGTTTGTTAGGATAAGACAATATTTGGCCGAGATACAACTATTTGAAAATCTGTAAAATCAAAATATTGAGAAAATCGCCTTTAAGGGGGGGAAGTCGTGGCCTAATGGTTAGAGAGTGTTGTCCAAATGAAGTTTTTAGCAATGCATATTACTAATCAAAAATACATTTTTTATATATTTACAGTAGGAACATGGAACATGATCTTTACTTAATATCCTAATGACTTTTGTCATAAAAGAAAAATCAATCATTTTGACCCATACAATGTATTTTTGGCTATTGCTACAAATATACCCCAGCGACTTAAGACTGGTTTTGTGGTCCAGGGTCACATTTATTAGTATCATAGAATGTGCTATTTATAACTATGTTATTTCAACATCAAACTCTGATAACAACTTTGTACGTTGTTATCTGACACTGGCTTTTGCAAACATCCTGGTCTCACATCACCGGTTCGCCTTATAGAGTATATCAGTGCCATGGAGCTACAGTGACATCCGTTAATGCAGTCCTTTGAATTCAAGTAAATATTATAAACCCTTCTTCATTTACTGATCTAAATGACCGTATGCTGAAGTTGTTTGCCCAGGAAATTAAGCTATTTCAAGTCAGGAAATATTGAGCACTGTGACAGATTTGATTCATCTCATGCTTGTAATATTGTTTCCTCATTTTTTGCCAGTTACACTACTGTTTGACAGTTTGAGGTTGATAAGATTTTTGAAAGAAGTCTCTTATGCTCACCAAGTCTGCTTTTATATGATTGAAAATACAGTAAAAACAGTAATGTTGTGAAACATTATTACAATTTTAAATAACTGTTTTCTAATGCCATAAATTTTAAAATGTAAATTATTCCTGTGATGGTAAAGCTGAATTTTTATCAGCCATTACTCCGGTATTCAGTGTCACATGATACTTAAGAAATAATCTGGTGCTCAGGAAACATTTATTATTATAAATGTTGAAAACAGTAATGCTGCTTAATATTCTTATGAAAACCAAAATACCTTTTTATTTTAATTTTGATGAATAGAAAGTTCAAAAGAACAGCATTTATTTGAAATAAACATTTTCAGTGTTTCGTTACTTTATAAATGTCTTTATCGACACTTTTAATTTAATGCATCCTTGCTGAATAAAAGTATTAATTTCTTGAAATATCTTACTGACCTAAACATTTGAACAGTAGTATACATCACACTGTGTTGTTTTATACACTTTTTGTGTCATAAGACTATGCACTGAAAGACCTGACCCTTAAGGAAGATTGTTGGTCTGATGTCTCTACACATTCAGTTCCCAAAGGGTTGGAAAGGTACTGTATAATAAATCAGTAGAAAATTGTTTTGCTATTATTGCACATAGGCTCTTAATGTTTTCTCAGTCCAAGTACAGACATTCTTTAACCAAGATATATTTAATATTCAGACTATATGTGCCCTTGGGTTGGTTGGTTGGTTTGTTTGTTTGTTAGGATTAGTACTGAATAAGATTGTATTTGAACTGAGGGTGCAGAGGGCCCATTAGTGTCATGAATTATTATTCACTGCTGAACAGAACAAGCGTCACATTTCACTTCGTGCTGATTTATACACTGTAGAAAAAAAATCCGTAAAATTTACGGTAAAAAAACGGCAGCTGTGGTTGCCGGAATTTTACCGTAAAAAATACGGTAGCAACGTTTTAGGTTTTACGGTTTTAACTTAAATTTACAGTTACATTACAAATTTACATTAACAGATATAATGTTAATATACCAACCTTATTGAAGTACTGAAATCTGTTTTGTGCCTTTGTAATACACTGATAACCACCAAATGCAGGTGGTGATGAGAAAGTCACATGATGAACCAAAGCCCATCACAAGCAGCTTTTAAATAATAACATATATAGAAGGTGCACAGTTTCATTCACACAAACACTAAACACCATCATGGTAACACACATGAAACTGAAATAATGCAATAAACATTCATTTAACAACATTAGGTGTAACACACAACCCTAATATACAAAACCGATAAGAAAAAACTAAGAAGAAACAGTTATTTCAACAAAAAAACATCAAATTTGAAATGTAACGCAGGGAATTGTGGGAATGTCAATTTACAGTTATTTACTGTAAATTATACGGTCTTTTTCACTTCCAAAAACGGTATACTACCGTAAAATTAGTGTCCAATACATGTAATGTCCAATACAGTTTTTCACTGTATAGAGTAGGGGAATTTATTGTTAACCATTCAACAGGTTTTTACTGTAGCATTTTTACAGTCTTTTACCGTTAAATTCAGAGTCATTTTTTACAGTGTATGTAAACTCCTCATGTAAACTCTTGCTGGTTGCCGTAGTTGCTCTGTTGTGTTGTTACTTTGCCAAAGCAAATGACCAGCTTATATAAGCGGAAAGGGCTATGATTACCTCCGAGAGAGTATCATTTATATAACAATGTATAATACAAAGTATTTACTACAATAAAAATTTATTTCTGTACTCAATTTAAATTTAATAATAAAGATGTAAGCAGACAAATGCTCTGTTTTATTATTATTTTGTTTTGTTTTCAATAAGCAATTATTAACAATAAGCAATTATGGTTTGGCTTATCTTAGCTGTCTAGGTAAACCCATCTTCATCTTTCTGGTTTATGTTTGCAGAAAAGTCCAACATTTTTGGTCATTCCACAAATTCGTTTAAAAAAATTGAAAACATATTCTATCAGACAAAGAATGTATTAAATGTATTTAAGTGTTAATAAATTGCATTCTTTTATTGCAAGCTATATGTAGCTATGCCTTGAAAAGTTTTCTCATAAAAAGAGAATAAATAAACGTACTATATTGCTATATATGTGTTTAGAAAATGCCTATAATGGTAGTAAATGCTGGAGTCAGCTTTTTTTATTGTTAAAATCCTTGTTTACACACTTGCTCACGAGTCACGAGTGAAACAAAGGGCTGCATATTTATGAAATCACCCGCATGATTGATGATATTCGCTAAACAGCGCTCTCTGCTGGCCACTTGAAGAACGCGCCAAACAGCGTCCACAGCTGGTGAGTCGACCAGCCGACGTAGCGTACACCGTCATGATCCGTCATACGCACAACATACAGTAGCAATATGAAATAAAAACGTTTTTTTATGCACACTACCTTTGTTTGCCGTTTTAAGCAAAATATGCGGTTATTAAATGTGTTTCCTAAATCGATTCTCATTATTCGTATGCGTAATGGAACTGAAAACCAGTTTTGACACCGCCCACAAGTGTGAAAGTGAAACCAAACGTGAACTTGCGACAAAATGCAACGAGAGAAGCTAATGGTAAGAAGACTTATATTGTGTATCTCTTTATATTGTTTAGCGCTTATCCTATATTTAAATGCACTAGAGAAGATTGATGCCTCTGAAAACATTGTAAACCAGCCTAAGCTTTGCTAGTCTTAGCTTGTAGCTTTAAATGGTTTTTCAATTGGTCACACTAAGAGACCAGCTTTCCCATCAGCTAAAACCCCTCTAAAACCAGCCAACAGACTAGTGTGAGCAGGTTTTGAAACCATTCTAGACTGGTTTATCTGATTCATCATTTTTATCTTTTCAGTTTTAAGATGACCTCAGAGGCTCACCCCATCTTTAGAACTGCAGCAGTGCATTTCTGCCTGTTGTGCTGTGATCTTGTCATCTGGGCTTGTGTATGGACGGCACTGCTGTGGCTGGATGGAGAGGGCAGTCTGGATCTATGGTGCCTGTGGGCTCTCAGGGCCATCAGCTGTGTTGTGCTTTATTCATTGAGCACAATTTTTGCTGACAGCAGCATTCAGCCTCTCCTGAAGCGCTGGGTAGCCCTACTGAGCTTCCTACCTCCAGTGTTTGACAGTATGCAGACAATGCTGCACGGTACCGTGAGAGGCTTCACTCCTGTTCCTGATCCTGGCATGGTGATCCTGAGCTTAGCTACATCTACCCTCATATATATGGTGTGGGAGATGGCCTTCCCACATGGTGGATCATCTAAGGGTACCAGAAACCAGAAGAAAGATGAAGAGGCCAAAGCACTCCTAATGAGGGTCATTCGATACTCCAGGCCTGACTATCTTCATCTAGGGGCTGCATTCCTCTTCCTCAGTCTGGCAGCACTGTGTGAGTGTTTCTCATGGTTGAGGAAACTATAATATTGTCTGAATTCTTGATTTTAAATCCAAAACCTGATTTCAGTGCATCTTTTATCTACATAGAAGAAACTAGATCCAGAGTAATACAAAATAAAGTTGTTGTTTTTTTAATAGTTGAGACATTCATCCCATACTGCATTGGCAAAGTTATTGACATATTGAGTGGAAAGTACCAGCACACCAATTTCTCATGGGCTATTGGACTCATGGCACTGTGCTCACTTGGAAGGTCAGTGTAACATCACTGCCATGCAAACATCTTAAAAACGAATGCCGCCTTGTACAAACTGGTTTTGTTTTTGGAATTAATTGTTCATTTGTGTCTTTAAGTTCTATGTTCGGTGGTATGCGCGGCGGGATGTTCATGTGTAGCCTCAGCAGACTCAACAAAAGAATACGACACATGCTGTTCCAGAACCTCATGAAGCAGGAGATAAGCTTCTTTGAAGAAAACAAATCAGGTACCTGTCCCTTCACTTCACTTGAAGTTTAGCGCTAATTGTCTTTAAGTAAACATTTTCCAGAGAAATAAAAATTCTCTTTATCTATTTTCTAAATGCATGTTTTAGATGTCATTGTGAACAGTTCAGTCATGTTTAATATTTTTTTAAATGTCAAAACTGGATCTTCCGGTGAAAACGACCGACTTCTCCATTAATTTTTTCAGCTTAAACCCCATCCCTGCAAGCTCGCATTCATCTGCCTCCACTTTTGAGTGCAATACTCAAAATCCAATCAAGTTGTTCAACAAAACAAAACAAAGAAAACGCTTCTTGTGTTTTTACCGCAGTATAATTGAATAGGCTCTTCTGAGGACTTGTGGAATCGACTCTTTATCCCCAGCTATTGTTCAACAAAACAAAACAAAGAAAACGCTTCTTGTGTTTTTACAGCAGTATAATTGAATAGGCTCTTCTGAGGACTTGTGGAATCGACTCTTTATCCCCAGCTGCCTCAGAATCAACCAATTTTTTGTATGTTTTCAAATAGCAAGTGCCACAAGAGTCACTAAGTTTTTTACCATTCCAAAAAAGTAAAACACTTTAAAAATTCATACATAAAATGACTGAAGATCCTCAGAAGGTTAAAAACACATCTTGCGAGACTGCATTCCGCTGCATATTTGAGTATGATTTTGAAAGTAGACAAAGCTACTAAATAGTGCATATGTGATAATATATTATTTAAAATCATGCCTCAGAAACAAAATTTTCTCTCTTACAGGTAGTCTTACATCACGTTTGATCTCTGACACTGATAAAATGGGACGCTCTGTGGCCATGAATGTGAATGTGTTACTGCGGAGTTTGGTGAAGACATGTGGCATGCTGTTCTTTATGCTGCGTCTATCCTGGCAGTTAACCCTCCTCACCTGCATCGAAATGCCACTTCTTGCTTTCATTCAGAATTCATACAACAACATCTCCCAGGTTAGTAAACCTTCTCATGTTGGTTTCCTTATTACTTTCACACAGCTTCATAAAGCTGTGCGTTGGCCTCTCCTGAAAACTTTTTTCAACAAAAAAAAAAAAAAAAAAACACTTGGGGGTACAACCGTAATGAATTCATAGCGTCTCACCTTTCTTATCAGACAATAGCCAAAGAGCTTCAGGACTGTAATGCAGAGACTACAGAGTTGGCATCGTCTGTCATTGGGTCAATGAAGACTGTGCGCAGTTTTAAGGCAGAGCATCAGGAGCAGCAGCGATATGAACAGACTCTCAACCGAAAGCTCCAGATTCTGAGGCGTAAAGGCATATACAGTGCCATCCATCTCTTAATACGCAGGGTAAATCATATACAGTCCTGATTTGCATGCACCGGTCTCCAAAATAGAAATTGTGTTCTATTTCATTGATTCTTCTTTCATTGCATTGTAGTTCATTACAGTAGGCTTGAAGGTAGCAATGCTGTTCCAAGGCCGAAATCTCATCTCCTCTGGACAGCTAAGCAGCGGCAGCCTCCTTGCATTTGTGTTCTATCAGAAGGACATGGTGACCAACATGAAGGTATGGCTGGCAAGTAGAATTTTACAGTAATATGACTCTTCATTTAGAGAGACTAAACTCTGTCCATCATTATATTCTCAGCATCTTGTATATATCTACGGAGACATGCTGAATACTGTGGGATCAGCAGTGAAGGTGTTCCAGCTGCTTGACAGGAAGCCACAGATGAGAGAGGCAGGTGATTTGGCCCCAGAGAAGGTTGAGGGAAGACTAACCTTTGAAAAGGTCACCTTTTCCTACCACTCCCGCCCTAATGAAAAAGCACTTAAGGTAGGCTTTGGTTAATAGTGCAAAAGCAGATCAGAGAACTAATGGAATTTGCATGGACTCATTGTTGAATTGGTGCAGTCTGTTACATTGGAACTGAGTCCAGGGAAGCTGACGGCATTGGTAGGACCCTCTGGTGGTGGGAAGACCTCTTGTGTCTGCTTGCTGCAGAGGTTCTATGAGCCACAGGAGGGTGAGGTGTTACTGGATGAAGAACCTCTGCACCACTACCAACACCAGTACTTGCATAAAAAGGCAAGGAATGATACACCAGCATTTATAACCATTTAACTTGAGGAGAGATGTGCAAACAACCAATTCTGTTGGATGGTTTGGTGAAACGAGTAGTAGTTTGTAAATTGATACATCATTCTCTTTCATTTGGCTTAGGTGGCAATGGTATCCCAGGATCCTGTGCTTTTCTCTGGCTCTGTGAGATATAATATTGAATACGGTTTAAAGGACTGTCCACTCGAAAGAGTAAAAGAAGCTGCTCTGAAAGCCAATGCACACAACTTCATATGCAAATTGGAACAAGGATACGACACAGGTAGATAAAACTAGGCAGATTGTCAGATAATCGATATGGTACCGAAATATTGTGCATTCCCATAAATAACATAAAAACTCTATAAACGAGTAGGTTAAATCTGGAAGCTTTCTCTGTAGATGTTGGCGAGTGTGGTGGCCAGCTGTCCGCAGGGCAGAAGCAGTGCATTGCCATAGCCAGAGCTCTGATAAGGAACCCACAGATTCTCATCTTGGATGAGGCCACCAGCCACATGGACTGCAGCACACAACAAGCTGTACGGACTCCTCTGGAATTAATACTAAAATCCTAATATCTTAATAAACAGCTGCATGTCATTTTTAAGCTGCTGTAACATGATAAATTCTGAGGTTCTCAGTATCTATTCATGATTTTGTTGTCCAGGTTCAAGATGTACTCAATAACATAACGGATCAGACAGTACTGGTGATAGCTCATCGTTTGGAGACTGTAGAGAAAGCAGACCACATTATCTTCATGGAGGGAGGTGAAGTCGTGGAGCAGGGAACACACCAGCAGCTCATGGCCAAAGAAGGAAGATACTATCGGCTCAGAGAAAAGCTTTTCAATCTGGAGACACAACCAGCGGACTAAAGTATCAAATATGTGGATTTATTTTACAGAAACTTTAGTACACACTCACAGACTGCATTTACCCACATTCTATTGTGGGGTAAATACTTAGTTTTGATGAATTATATGCTTCAGGACAAGTGTAGACCTGAGTTTTTAAAATGTTTTTTTCCTCTGTACTTTTCTCCATACCTCTGTTTATATAGACAATGTTTTATTGATTATGGAATAAGTGATGATGAATGGGACACACAAAAAAGAAAGCATGGGATTTGTATCCTAAAAGTAAAACAGTATGGAATAACAACCTCTACTGTATTAAAAAATATATGCAATAAAGAATTATGATGGTGTACTTCAATCAGAGAATGACCAGTGGATTTGCCCTCAGCTGCAGAAAAATGCGGAACAGGATTTCAGAGTTCTTATTCGTCTTCATTGTGCCACCAAGAGCTTCTTGATTCTGAGCATCCTGAAGGTCTTCATAGAGACTGACAATAGAAAAAACAATTATATTGTATGTGATTTAAGCAAAACTGTCTGATACACGTGAATCGATACTAATCACAGTGTAAAAGTGTAATAAACAGATAAATTGAAGGAAATCAGATCTACCTCAACATGCCGTACGGCTTCAATCAAGCTCTGTGCCTTTAGCTGTTTTGTATGAACACATTTCACAGCCGCGTCTCTGAGCAAGACCTGTTGAAAATGTCATGATCTGTAAATTAGATTCAATTGTAAGTCCATGTTCGAAAAATGGAAATACTTTATTATAAAAGTACCTGAAGGCGCCTTAGAATGGCATGATGCAGTCCACACACCGCTGCCACAGATGAACTTTCCACCCGAATCTCCAAGACTTCAAGAGGTCCATCAGAACAGAAATCTCCCAGTGTTACCTTGAGGAAAGACATGGGTAACTCATTCTAAATTACAGACTTTATGATCATAAATAAATAATCAGTAGTATAAAGTCAGCACCTCTTTGACCAGAAGCTTGACAGAGCATCCATCTGGACTGTAGGCACAAACCACTGGACTTTGTACCGACATTTGTCCTCTCTCCTCAGGTGATACCAACCAGTTTAGCACAGACATGCATCTTTCTGTACTGCTGGTTGCTGAGAGGTGCAGTTTGGTATTTAGAAGCTGTGATGATACCCTGACCATCACTGTGATGGGTCCTGACTTGGTAGTAGTATCAGAATCTCTGGTTATAGCTCCTCTGGAACGCAGGAAGGTTTGGATGCCATCAGTGACAGTGTTGTGTCTGATATTACCATTAGAAAATGATCCATCTAGCCTTAAAGCATCAAGCCAGTCAACTGTTAAAGTACTCAAAGGTGCACTGATGGAGCCCATCTCTGTTAGGAGCTGGGAAACACCAGGAGAAGATGCTTCAGGACTAAACAGAGCAGAAAGGGAGAAGACAAGAGAACAGTAGACTTTCACTGGCAGAGACAGCCCGCCAGTGCTTTCAAGGGGAATGGTTACATCCAGTTTCTGACCAGAATCCAGTTTCATGAATGGGAATGAGTATGTCCCAGATGAGCCTTCCATATTTGGACCCTTGGATAATGGATGGACCTGAATGCACAAAGTCCAGCCATGTTCCAATGTACATCCACTTGAATTTTCAAGCACACATGTGAGAGTCAAAGAGTCTCTTTGGAGCAACGAGCTCCATCTAGCTACACCACAACAGCTGATTGGACGCTTGGTGCCCATATTACACACCTTTTCATTCCCATGGTTGTCCAACATTAGGCTGCAAACATTTATGACTTGATTAAGATGTTTGAGAGACTCATTTTTCTCCTGAAGCTTGTGTTTCAAGGATTCCGCCCTGCAGAAGAAAAAAAAGGGTAAATGACGTGAAAATATTTTTCTGGCCGTTTTAAATGTAAAAAAACAAAATAAAATAAATTCATAAAAACAATGATTTTTTCCCCAAGAACAACTATGATTATAAGATAAACTAAAATTTTAATAAATCAAAATAAACACAAAAAGTGACATTCAGCTTTTGCCGCCGGAAAACCAGTAGTCTTTTCAATGATGAAGTATAAAACAGACCTCTCCCAGATGTTTGCGATGGAAGCCAGAAGGTCTTTCACTCTCTGGCCTGCCAGAGATGAGGGCAACCTGGGAACATTTTCAGATCCTTGAGGAAGGTTCACGCGAAGCAGTCTTCCACTCAAAGATACTGCCAAAAGCTGCACAGATCCTTAAAATTCGAAAACAAACACTTTGTGTTAGTGACTTAAAATACTGCAAAAGCCCGGTAAACAGCATAGAGATGTATCATAATTCATGTTATGTACCTGTGGGGTTAGTATATGGCCCAGCAAGTGCTATAGCCCTGCATACACCAAGACTGTCAGAGGTCAGAGCTTGCAGTTGGGACTCAGTTCCTGTTGCTTCTGATGAAGATGTTGTGGTGAGCTGAAGAGCGTGTAGGTCATTGAGAGAGCTGTAGTACAGCCGCTTATCATCAACACAGGCACACAGCACTGGTCCTCGTACACTATGCTCATTGAAGCCTATAAAAAGTGAATTTACAGATTACCAAAACTAATCTAAGTTATTAAAAAATATATTCAAAATGAGAATGAGTACAGTAATTTTGATATTTTAAGGGATATAGAGTCAAAAATGTCAGGATGATACATCTGTCCTGATATCAAAATGAAGGGGAAAAAAAGCTTCATTAAAAAATAAAATTATTCTAAACAGAAAATCTCAAGTAGTCTGGTATAATGTTTTACTATTATTTCTTATATAAATATTTTAATAAAAACTGCTTCACTGCTTAGCAATTTTTGGTCTGCCAAATCAAGGCAACATTAGGTCAGGTTGTAAAATGTCATGTGGTTTAATTCTCCAAAACCGTATTCATATTTATTAATAATACATGTAATGGATTTTTAAAATACCTTGAAAATATATATTTTAAAACTTTTTTGAAAGTAATTATTAATGTACACGCATATGTATTCAAAACAAGGAAAAACTTCATTACTTTTTTTTTGATGATCACACCACATGACATCTTTTCAGTCATTAAACTGAAACTTTTCCTGAAAATGGTAGAAAGGTTTTACAAACCATATGAGACCAGTGTGAAAACGAAAAGAGTACATCTCCGATAAATTGGCTCATGTTTATTAGATTTTAAAAATATTTTTCCTTATCTTTATTGTGGACATTCTTGTATATCATTGACTCTCAAATCAAATAAAGACTAGGGCAATGGCAAATGTATGTGTAATGAAAGCACTTTAATTCAGTCTTACTATAATCTGCCTTTTTTCCTTCCATGCTTGCTTGTTTACTTCTGACAATTAGAAGTTTGCCTCTTTGACCAACTGCAACAAGACACTGAGGTCCGTGTTCTCCAGAAATGCAGGTTCCAATAAATACGACTGGCTGCTCTAAGCTCTGGAGGACTCTGACTGGAGATCTCTGCTCTCCTGTAGGACCAGCCAGGGTGGGGACGAGCAAAGGAAAGCAGCAAATACGTCCATCAGGTAAACCACACAGAATGACTGGAGAATTGACTAAAGAGGCATCCACTCCAAATAAAAGCCTGAAAAGATGGGGCTCAAGATGGGGACGGAGGTCAGATTGGTCAGTGCTGACTGATGTGGATCCTTCGGGGTAGATACAAGTTAATACTGGAGGTGAACTCACACTTTTTTCTTTGTCTGTTAAGTTTAAACAGCATGTGTTTAGAGTTACAACCTGGAAACATGCAAGTTTATGAAGGGGTCTGGATCCAGGCTCTTCGTAGAGATCAAAACTCCAGACAGACTTGTGAAGGCTAAGAGTCACAAGGATCTTCTCAACTATGGTGAACGCTTGTAGGCTGGCATTTTTCAGGACAATTGAATCATCTGGCACAGTATACTGCACACTGTCAGGACTTTTGTTCACCCGGACAGAAGAACTAGGAGGGAAAAGGCATGGGAAACTAAAATCACAAAACCAAAAATTCACCATTAAAGTGACTCTAGATATTGGCATATCTATGCCACTAGAAATAATCTAAAGACCCAATGAAATTGCTTGATGAATAGTTTTCTTTCCTGAGATGGTGCATTCCCTGATAGCACACATACATCACGGAGACGTCTATTTGACGTCTGCAAGAGGTTTTTTTTTATTTTATTTTTTTAGAGTGTTTGCTCATGTGCAATACATGTATAGGAGGTTTGCTATCAGATGTCAAATAGACGTTTAGATGTCTTTAAGATGTTTATGATTTAGAATGGACGTAAAACTGACATCTTAAAGACGTTTATCAGAAGGTTGTAAACAGCAGATGCTTTCCAGATGAAGAGATCTTTAACAGATGTCTTGCAGATGTACCTGTACTATCTGGGATTTATGGTCAAATTTCCAATGGAAAGAAAGAAATGTCCTTATAGCAACTCAGCTAGGAGACTTCATATTATGACTGTATTTAGTTTATTTAGTAAAACAAAACGTGAATTCAACAAGTAATATTAATCATTGAATTTAATTGCTAATTACTAAGCACCGCCCCTTGGTTACAGTTGCTAACAAGTTCAGAATTTTCATATTTAAATGCATTCGATTGGACAAAAAATTGTGTAGTGCAACATAAATCATCAGTATTGTTGGTCTGTTTTCCAGTAAATACGTACGTTTATTTGCTGTAATTAAATTACACACACGTACATACATACATATTTAATAGCAAGTGATAATTTATCACGGAAACAGTAATCTGTATGTAATCTATATATTACTAAGTTACCTGAGCTGTGGTGGTAAAGGGGTGCAGTAAAGCCCACCGTTCGCGCAAAGTGCATAAAGTCGATGTTTATCGTCACTTAATGCCAAATTTATCACTGAGGCTTCAAACAGCATCACGGTCTGAAAAACAACACGTATTAAGTGAGAATGGGGCCAGAAAAGTAGTATAGTTGAACACAAAAGTGAGAACAAACGTCCACTTGCCGTGACTCTCCTCTCCTGGATATTGAATATGAGCACATCTCGGTCTCCGCGGGTCAAGAAAAGATTCACACCGTCCTGAATAACGCGCACTGAGTGTGACTGACAGTCACTGAACTCAGATAAATACTCCACACTGCACCTCACCGCGTCCATTATCAGATTCCGCCTGTTTTACTTTCTCCTCTGAGTGAAAGTCAACTTAAAAGACGTTTTCTGTTAGGATAATAATAGTAATGCGATTTAACTAACGTTACATAAAACAGAAATGTTAGTGACTGTCCCTAACTTGTTTCATGTTCCCGCCGCCTCTACAGTGACCAATGAGGGCCAATATTCGTCCTTCTTCTTCTTCTTTTAGGATTTAATGGCGGTTGGCAAACCAACTTAAAAGGTGCATTCCCGCCACCTACTGGAAAGGAGTGTGAAGCGCACAATGAATAGGAACTTTAGAAACAAGAGCTATCTTAACAAAAAAAACAAACAAAAAAAGTTTTAAACCAAAACCGGTATACTACATCCTATTAATCAGTCCTGTTTCTTTTAAATAAATAACTAGTGATGGTAGGTACCCACACGAAATTGACCAGAAGTCCATACTGTCTTATTCTAAAAAGACTCTGCAAATATTCTTCCTTCTTCTGCCTGTCCGTTTTAGTAGACTGCCATCTACCGGTATTACGAGATGATCGGTTTCCGAGATTTTCGGTTTCAGTGGGCGGAGCAAATATGAATATTCATGAGTTTCACTGACATGCGCGTGGAACCAGGTGGAACTGAGTACAACAGCTGAAATAAACTTGTATTTGTGGACTAATCGTTTTTCATCTATGCTGTAATTGTTCTTAAACTGTTAGGCTTAGGCTATATTTACAAAATGACTAGGAATCTAAGACCACACACAAGCATGAAAGTGTTCATTTGTTCATGTTCACCAACTGCATTTAGGCTATCAGATAAAAAATATTGAAAAACATTAATATTGTGAAATAATTTTACAATTTAAAATATAGTTTTTTTCCCCCCCTGTGATGTCAGATCTCAACTTCTCTTCAGTGTCTCATGATCCTTCAGAGATCATTCTAATATGCTGATTTGCTGCACAAGAAACATTTCTGATTATCACCGTTGAAAATGGTTGGAGGATTAGGATTCCTTGATGAATAGAAAGTTCAGAAGAACAGCATTTATTTGAAATTTAAAATTTTTTTTTTTTACATTATAAATGTCATTACTGTCATTTTTATTAAATTAATGCATCTTTGAAGAACAAAAGTATACATTTCTTAAACAAACAAACAAACAAAAAATCATAGTAATCCCAAACTTTTGAATGGTAATGTCAAAAGCCAGAATCAAGTTAAGAAATTTCTTTTTTCCCCCTGCTTTATTATGTCATATTTTTATACAGCAGATTCTATAAGGACGTTAACATCACACTTTCTTGTCTCGTTGTCTTGTTTTGGTGCATAAATCTATTTTGTTGTAACAAGGATTCAATAGTGATTCATGCTCAAATTCAGGAAAACTTTATTAATAGCATCCTCCATGACTATAATTTTCCTGGATTTTGAGTGTGAATCACTATTGAATTCATATTTTTAAAACCAAAATGCCACTGTCTCACATAATATCAAACATCCACACCAACACACATTTTACCAACATCTTATCACAAGCTAATCAAGGCAATAATCCAATATTTATTCCACTTTATTTTTTATAATTACAGGCCCTTTTTATTTATTTATTTATTTATTTATTTATGTATGTAGTCATTTAGCAGATGCTTTACACATAACAAAAAGAAAACAAGTAGAATAGAAAAAGAATAGAGAAAGCTAGTGTTAGTGGCCTTTAAAAAAACAAAAAAACAAGCAGTTGGAAAACGATTAGAGAGTGCAAGTGTTAGAGGGTCAACTTAACAAATAGATAAAATAGAATTAGAATAGAGAGTGCTAGAGTTATAGAGGGTCAAATAAAGATGCAAGGGATGTGTTTTTAGCGGTTTCTTGTAGATGGCTAAGGATTCGAATTGAGTTGGGCAGGTCATTCCTAAATAATTGAAATGGTAGTTGGATCTGCGCTACTATTGGAAACCTGTAGCTGTATCTACACCTTTATTTTGACTTTTATTTAATCACCTTTATTTGACCCTCTAACTCTAGCACTTTCTATTCTATTTTAAGAATTGTACAGTAAGAAAGTTATTTTAACTAACCAGGAAATTAACGTTCTTAGAATTGACAAGACAGTTGACCAGCGGATCTAAATATTCATAATTAATTATAACTAGTTATGATTAATTATTCATATTTCCTCATGAGCTGATTCGTTACAATATATATATATATATATATATAAAAGATATATTGATAGCAGCGTCTCTATTAGCTGTTGAGGTTGTGTCACCAAGTTTCAAATAATCAGTTGTAGGAATCAAAACTAGCGAACGAATCATTCTACGGAGTCCGTTCTTTTCAACGAATCTTTTCAATGTTATACATATCTATGATCAAAACGGTATGAAAGCGATCGCGATTCAGTCTTAAAGAGTCGAACAGCTCTCTGACACTCTGAGTCGTTTGGAGCAGTAATGTTTTATTAAACTCAATAAAAGTGGCACTTTGTAATATATCTATAATTAGCTACTTTCTCCAAACAACAGCTTTCAAATTTTGTGTATGTATGTACATATGTAGTTAGAAGTAAATATAGCTACATGTCTGATAGGCTGTCCATGGGTGTGTCAGTGATGTAGGGAAGGATTTTCGACAGGCTGGTTTTAAAATACAAAAAATAATAATATCTATTGCAATTGTTTAAACATTAAGAATGTTGTGTACACAAATTCATATAAAAATTTTAAATGAAGTGATTTTAGTGTGTTTTCATCTAGATCAGTGATCCTCAAATCTGGCTCGCGAGATCCACTTTACTGCAGAGTTTAGCTCTAACCCTAATCAAACACACCTGAGTTTGCTAATCAATAGGCTTGTTTGAGATGCGCCTCGCCTCGCCTGAAATGTAGGCGAGAGTAGGCGTCTGCAGTGAGGGGAGGAGTGAAATAAGCGCAGGCAAGACGGACAGTTCTGACCTCTCGAAGTGAAACAGATACCAACGAGATCAAAGACAGATATCGCGTTCTCACTCATGTGCTGTGCTGCTGATTAACATGATATAATAGGCTTGTTTGAGATGCGCCTCGCCTCGCCTGAAATGTAGGCGAGAGTAGGCGGCTGCAGTGAGGGGAGGAGTGAAATAAGCGCAGACAGACAGTTCTGACC